CCTCTCTCTTCCTCCCTCCCTCTCTCTTCCTCTCCCTCTCTCTCCCTCTCCCTCTCTCTTCCTCTCCCTCTTTCTTCCTCTCCCTCTCTCCCCCTCTCTTCCTCTTCCTCTCTCTTCCTCCCTCCCTCTCTCAGTTCAGGTGGGAGTCAGAGCCGCTCAGCCCCACGGGCGTCTTCCCTCCCCTACCTTCTGCTCTTTCCTTTTTCCCTGCTCCTGTGTGTGCGTGGATGGACCTGCCATCTGAAGGTGCCAGCCCACTCTATTTTCTCTTCTTCTCTAAGACACACTGTATCATGTATAAAATATATAACCTGATGTCACGGGAGGGACCCAGAGTGCAGAGGGCCGTTCCGGAGGAGCAGATGGCCGCACCCTCGCCTCACGACTGACTCGGGCTCCTGCTTGTGGCTGTGGCACAGGTGTCTGACCACGGGAGTCTCACGTGCGGCACCTGGCAGGGTCAGGTGCTCCCCGTGCCAACCTGTCCCCTCTCCCCTGCGTACCCTCACTCCTGGTCCAGGTCACCATCATTTTATTCTCTAACTCAGTAAATCTGTCTGTTTTTTAAAAGAACCCTCATGGGGTGTGTTCACAAAACACAGCGAACACTTACATTGCATAGTCCAGCACAGTGGAGACATCCTACCAGCCGCCACACTGGTCCCACCATCCTTGCCACTTTCTGGGGCGTTCTGGAAGTCACCTTCCCCGAGTGCCTTTACATGACAAGATAAAGATGCTAGCGGTGACTGTGGCTGCCGTGCACCAGCCAGAAGGAAGGCAGGCTTGCACAACACGATGCTGTGTCCTTGTCCACCTTGGCCCCAGACCCGGCACCCTGCAGCCTCTGCTCTTCCCCAGAGCCACAGTGACCATGCACGGGAAGTGTGGCAACAGCTCCAGGGGCACCGAGGCAGCTGGCTGCGCACAGCCTCTCCAGAAGGGCAGGAGCGAGGAGAGCGCACGCGGGACGCTGGGGAGGATTCCGAGTGGGATGAATGACAGCGTGTCATTCAGCTGAAACACGCACCACGTCTTTCCATCGTACTTTGTGTAGCCGCTCATAAGACACAAACCATTTATTGCTTTCCACGTCTGCTTATTGTACTCAGAACAACATCCTCCAGGCTCACCCGTGTGGACAAGGGCAGCATCCCCTTTTGAAAGGCTTATAATACTCCACCATGTGCCACTATAGCATACACACACACACACACACACACACACACACACACGCATGCCGCTGTATGCCACTACAGCATACACACACACGCGCGCCCGTGTGCACGCGTGCCCACATGCATGCTGTTGTCTTTCAGACCCTTAAAGAGGAGCTCTGGGGATGAGGATGCCGGCGGGTGCACCTTGGCCTGTGTATCGAGAGCCCGCAAGGATGCTGGGATTGCCCCCTCCCGATGCGAGGTGTCACGTCTGTACTGGCTGTGCTGCCGCACCGCACCGCACCATGCATGCTCAGTCTCGGGGACCAGAGAGAACTGGGGGAGAGAACTGGTGACTGCTGAGGTCCAGGCCACAGGGACTTCTCCCCTGAGTTGTTCCTTCCCTGCCAAAATGCCATCCTACTCCTCGGCGTTCCTTCCAGGCACCCTGGCCTCAAATGACTGGAACAGCCCTGCACAGTGGGAATTGGGGCAGACGTCACCCTATCCCTGACTCTTGCATGTGCACCTCCTTCTCTCACTGAAGCTCTTCCTTGGAGGGGCACACCTGTCCTTCCCCTCTGCAGCCCTAGCTCTGGGTCAGAACTCTACCCCAGCTCCACGGAGGCAGGGCAGCAGCCCAGCTGAGCCCCTGGAGGTGCTGAGGAAGCACCTGAGCCAGATGGCCCAAGCCTGGGGCAGGAGCAGGCTTCAGGGAAGGTGTCCATCGGGACCCCGAGGGCAGGACTCAGCCCGCGTGTTTCTCCTAGACTGCCCTTGTGGAGCAGCTCCGTGCTGCCCGGCTGCCGCGATGCACCAGTCGGGTCCAACGTTTCCCGTGCATGCATGGTTGCTGCGGCTCTGGGGACAAGCCCGAGGTCACACTGTGCCAGGCCTGGGGGCACGGCAGATGAGGACACAGTGCCGTGCTTTTGCAAGCCTGCCTTTCTTTTGGATGGCACTCGACAGCAGCAGTCACCAGCATTCACACGGGTGTCTCTGCAGCCCTGTGCACTCGGGCAGTGGTCTGAGTTCCTGAGCTCTTCCTTGGGACCTTTTGCAGGGAGCGAGCTGGCTTTGGAGGGGTTCAGCCTGTGCACCTCAGGAAATCTGTAGGAGCTTGGACTTCAATGCCCCAGATAAGTAGTCGGCCCTTGAGAGCTTCCAGAACGCTGTGCACTGGGCGATAATTAATACTCGTTTCTGTTTAACTGTCAAGGAAAAACTGTGTCCTTACAGTATGAATGCATGTGTGTGTGCATGTATGTGCGTGTGTGTGCATGTGTGTGTGCGTGTGTACATGTGTGTGTGCGTGCGTGTGTGCATGTGTGTGTACGTGTGTGTGCATGTGTACATGTGTGCATGTGTGTGCGTGTGTGCGTGTGTGTGCACGTGCACATGTGTATGTGTGTGTGCATGTGTGCATGTGTACATGTGTGCGTGTGTGTGCGTGTGTGCGTGTGTGTGCATGTGTGCGTGTGTGTGTGCAATGCACCATGAAAAGTGGCCACATTGTCTTTTTCAAATCTGCTTACCATGGAATGCAATCCCTCTGCGCTCTCGGGAGAAACCCACACAGGCTGTGCATGCAGGCCTCTGCAAAGTGTGTCTGATGGAGCCACGGCTTTCCACCTTTCACTTGCACCAGAATTGCTTGAAGGAACTTTAAAAATAAGCCAATGACCAGCACCACCCCCACAGGCCCCCAGTGGCTGGCATCCAGCTGGCCTCCCCCTGCCTCCCTCTCCTTGCTTCTTCTCCGCTCCCTACCTCTCCAATGGGAGACTGAGTCGGGGGCTCCTGGAAGTGCATGTGGCCATCTCAGTTCTGGATATGTTCCCTGTATAATGGTGTTAGAAAGGGAAGACGCAGGGTCAGGGAGGTAGCTCGGGAGCCTAAGTGCCAGCCTGGCAAGCGCATGGACCCAGGTTCGATCCCTGGTACTGCATGCCATGCTGGGCCTGAAACACCGTGCTGGCCACTGAAACTGGGTGTGGTGGTGCACGCCTGTAATCCTAGTGCTGGAGAGGCTGAGACAGGAGGAACACTATGAGTTTCAGTTGTGTAGTGAGACCCTGTACCACATACAT